GTGTGAGTTGGTAAACTACATTACACAGAGACCCACACTGTGACATTCAGCTGTCCTGCTGTGCAGATGAAACCCACACTCCTGAGTTAAACTACAGGCACGACTAAGACATAATGTCCTCTATGATTATCCACAGTTTCCTCTGCACAGCTTTCACAATGTGTATGTTGAGGGCTTTTATTGTGAAAGGCTCACCAAGAACCTTTTGAATGTATGAATACATGCAGCATTTTACTTCATCAACACATCAGTGCTTCCACCTCAGGCTGCAGTCTGAGTGGAGGCTGCTGTTCCACATCTGGAGGGCACTGGATTCTCTCAGCTGCTGGACAGAAGCCAGGGCTCATGCTGCACCCTGAGCCGCTCGAGCTGGAAGATGGACCGCCTCGCCACGGAAAGATCCAGAAGGTCGCGAGCGGCATGTGTAACCCCTGCAGACACGCTGCTCCCTCTCGACCCGGCTGAGGCGGCGTGCTGGAGTTAGGACGGTGGCACGAGGTCAACTGTTCAGAACTTCAAGAAGACTTCGGGAAGGACCGGCGGCCTCGGGATGAAGACTGTGACCTTTGTGGCCATTTTTATTCAGGGAGTCTTAAAAACGTTGTTTTAAAAAGACAGTTCTCCCACAGTGTGCTCTCTCCCTGTGGCTCTAATTCTGTGTCGGACCATTTCAGCGTGACCTGTATTACATATTTTGGAAATGAAAAAACCCTCAAACGCGTGAAAAGCGTCTGAACCTTTTGTCAGCGTTGATGGTCACGTGTGTTTTATTAGAACCTGCAGCACATTTAAACAGGACTGCTGTCCACTCAACTTGAGGAGCTTTGCATGATTCACAGTTCAAAATAAGCCTTAGCGCAGGCCAACAGGTCAAAGAAGTCATTGTAGCCCCGCCCCTTTGAAGACGACTGGCTATAGGAGGTTTAAACATAAGGGTGGGCGGGACTATTCCCTCTTTGCGACATCACACAGATCTATGAACAGAAAAACAGTTGCTGCCATGTTTCTAACATGTGCACATCCATGCAACACAACATGTGAGAAACCCCTGGAACACGAGGACTCCAACTCCTGCACTAAAGTGAGCCGGATGTTTAAGAACATAAAACTAACTGTGATATGTGGCATGAGGCATCGACACGGCTAATTAATTCACAGAGCCGAGCACGAGGGTGGCCTCTTAATGAGCTCGCGCAGCCATCCATCTTCTGGATGGAGCTCCACAAACACACGGGGAAAATATGGCAGTAAAACGTATGAGATGAGGACAAAGCAAACAACAAAAGTATCTCAGACTGACGCAGACTCGACTGATGTAAGCGAACACGGGATTCATGCCATCGGGAACCAGTGAGGCGTCTTACCTGCAGCGAGTCGGTGGTGTGGGAGGTCGGCTGGCCGGCCTTGCCGTATCCCTGACCGTGAGCCGTCAGCATCCGGGCCGTCAGATCCACCGCGGCGCGCCAGTTCTTACTGCTCTGCAGGGGTGACGAGACACGAGGCGTCAGAAATAAGTCAGAATAACTGTTGCACAAAAAAAACAGGGAGAGGAAGCTGAGGGAGGAGAACCGACATCAGACAGAATATAATGCAGCTCAGAACAAAGAACTTCAAGAAGGTTCTGGAAGGACCGGGCGGCTCGAGAGGATTTGATGACCTTTTGTACTCAGAGACTGTTGGAGACTTTGTTTTAAAGGCACAGTTCACCAAACGTGCTTGTTCCCTCTAAAAGTGCCATTTAGATTGTTTCAGTGTCAGCCTGGTGAAGATGACAGGAGGTCAAATACCTAAACATGACTCCACCTGCGTTGCTGAGCAGCAGGACGACTCATGACTGCACCTCTGAATTCATGTGACATGACAAAGACCTTAAAGGTCAAAGGTTAAATCAGCTCATCTCCAGAAGACGCTTGTGGATGTTTTCCATCCTGCAGCAGAGACACTGAAACACTGCACGAGTCACCCTGAGCTGATCCTGCTGTGACTTTAACACTGCAGAGTGAAAGTGACCACATGAGCTCAGGTGTGTGTGTGTGTGTGTGTGTGTGTGTGTGTGTGTGTGTGTGGGGGGGGGTCATTAAGGCCGAGAACACGAGTGCACACATGCCCAGATATCAGCATCTGCTTCCACAGGAGGAGGTACAATAGGTAAGAGTGTGTGCTGGGAAGGGGTGGGGCGCAGAGTCACCCCACCCCATCAACACGCATGACAAGGTCGGCTCGCCGATTGGATCCTAAGTGCTGCGCCATTCATCACAGCCGGCGAGCTAATTAGGAGAGAGAGGCAGAGAGAGGGCTGCTCTCTTTATCACAGCCTTCATCACCACTTCCCTTCTCCTCCTCGCCTCCTTCCCCTTCATCCGACTCTCACTCCTGCCTGCCCTCCTCCTCCTCCCGTCACCGCTTCCTCTTCTCCTTCCTGTGCCAGTCGCTGCGCTGCCTCTGAATCTTCATTAGGGCGGGAAATGAAGCTGAAAACGAGGAGGCAGCCTGGATGGCCAAAAGCAGCTGCAGTCAGTCACACACACGCACACACTTCCTGCAGCACGCTACAGCACGCCGCTCACCGCCACGGGGTGCGAGAGGAAGACTGTGTCTGCGTGAGGAGGGGAAGAGACCGCAGGAAGTAAATGACCTTTAGTGTGGCCCCACATATTGGAGGGGTTTGTTTTTCAATGTTTTCTTCACTTTATGGCGCGTGAAAAACCAAACCCTGGACCTGCAGTTCCTCTATCGTCCAGCTGGGGCGCCAGCAGTGAGTCAGCCCCGTAGACTCCCATGTTAGATCTTTACAGCCTGATACACAAACTAGTTGGTCTCTATAGAGAATTCACTTCTTTGTAACACCTGTTTATATCATATTAAGTTTGGATAATTAGGGGCGTGGTCTTACTTATCTGACCAATAGCATGGCTGGTGTGGGGTTCATCGTGCTAATAGAGGTGTGAGCTCCTGTTTGTGTTAAATCCCGGCTGACAGCGCTGTTTTGGATGTTTGGTTTAACAGATAAATAAATGTTTTTGTGGCTCTTTTAAGCTAAACTCTGGTGATATTTGTCTTTCTGCTACGTGCAGGTCTTTCTGGGCCAGAAGGAGAGGGAGGAGCAAAAATGCAGAAACATGCATCACAAGGAGCCAAACCTCAGGATTTACATAACTATAACTTCATGCTCAGACACTGTCACTGGCCCGAATGCCAGAGCGAAGCCGTGATGAGAGCGAGCAGGTCGCGGAGTGGAGTCACGGCAAACGTCGGTCTGACCCTGCCAATGGAGGAAAGACCAGTCACACACTGAACGGTGGTCCAGCTTCTTTGACCTGAGTGACGTGCGACGTCCCGCCTGCACGGTGGGTTTGACACGAGCGTCTGCGGGGACTGCCTCACCTCTGGAGCCTCCAGTGGACGTCAGAGGAACTGCAGCTTGGCACGTTTAAACGTCCTTACAGCAGAAATCAGAGCAAAGAAAGAGGATGAAGGAGAGAACGTTTAAGAGGCTGAGCTCTGGTGTCAGTTTGCATCAGCACTGATGAGGCCATTTCTGCACATCGAGGCTTCAAATATAACATGAAAACACTTTTATTAACTCTAATTATGAATGATTCTGACTTCAGCAGCATTACAACGCCTCACCCAAACTCCCACTTACTCACACTCCCCTCACACACACTCATAATTAGTCTCGTCGCGAGTTTAAAAGGGGTGAGGCTCCTTAATTGCGTTGAAGATCGGAAGTTCACTGGGCCCATCCTTTAGTGAGTTTTAAAAAATCCGGCATAACAAAGCCTGATGAACAAACGAACGCCCACTCGTTCTCTCGCAAGACCCAGAAGCCTCCAGGCGAGGCAGACATAAAAAGGCTTCCTCGCACCGGCTTTGCTTAACGCAGCTGCAGCACTGCTTCAATTAAGCCCCTGCATGTCGGATTACACAGAGGGGGTGGGAAATAAAAAACATTCGTGATATGCTAAAAGAGAAAAAGGTGCTTTGATGCCTGTGTAGCTGGTCTGCAGACACTCGAACCAGGGGACGCTTTCCGCCCTCGAGCTGAAGGACGTCGAGTTTGGTTACTCAACTTCACGCAGCAGCCATTTTGTCTCTTCACAGAGACGCGGCGGGATGCAGCAATCTCCGCCCGACGCTCCCCGAGACGCTCCCCGAGACGCTCCTGTGGGTCAAATCAGCCGCTGATGGACAAACGCGCTGCCGGACGGCGTTTGAAGGTTTAGTTGTTACCCCGGCGATGCTGCAGGAGCATCAGAGAGCTCTGCATCAGGTCTGAGGCACAAGCACACGGACAGCACACGGCCACCCCAGAGCGCCGCTGACGACCTGACAGGCCTCATGGCTGGCAAAGCATCATTAATCTTCCACACACAGTCTTCATAGATGAAAATCAACCTGAATACTGGAAACACTGATGTCTTTCTGTAGCTCGCAGCGACGTGCATGCCAGCAGTGCAGGTGTAAGCTGTGAGCACGTCACACTTTAGCAAAGCTGCTCATGGACTGAGTCTCACAGCCGGGCACAGAAAACTAAACAACACACAGACCCGACTTTAAACGTAAGGTTACATTAATACAGAAACGCCAACAATCAAACGAGCCCCTCTGAACAAGCACTTTGGGGACAGTGGGAAGGAAAAACTCCCTTTTAACAGGAAGAAACCTCCGGCTTCTCTTTACTGACTGCACAGCGCCATCACAGTCCTCCCTACGGTGGCCCTGTAGTGCCAATCCCAAATCATTGATGGAGGTGGCAGAGGAAGTCGGAGCAAAGCTTTAAACACAGCGAGCAGCGGATATTGAAACTCTCAGACACGCGATGTAACGGGCCAGTCATGTTTAAATCCCTCCCACCGCCCTGCCATGCTGAACGTCACTGCTTTACTACATTTATAAAACATTTCTATTCTGTGTATTTTGCATTATCGAGCTTAATGATCTATTTCACCTCACAGGGTGAGACATACCTGTGCTGGAACATCCTGAGGCGTGACAGAGAGAAGAACAGGAGGAAAACACCTGAACTGGGATTTCAGACATTATGGGATGGAGTCACCGACCCGTCTCCTGCTGTTCTGACACACTGGAGGAGAACCAGCAAAGGGAGACGAGAGGACTTCTACTAAAGCTAAGGGAGGTACTGACATCGTTTTTGCTTCCAGGAGCTACACTGACTGAGCAGGAAAGACTCCCAGCATCGTTAAACCTCTGCCGTGTTGATGTGGTCAGTGCAGTAGCAGAGGGGGGCTTTGGTGTTAATGACATGAACCACAGGCGGACACAGTGAGACGACCACAAAACAGGAACGTTTCACAGGTGAAGGACACTGGAAACTTTCCCTCCTCATCTTTTCTGTTTTTCACTAGTTTTGCACTTGGCCTGGCTCAGCGTCGCTGCAGGGAGCATGAGGACACCTGAGAGGCTGCACAGACCGACAGTAGCGCCGCCACAAACGATTATTTTGATAGTCGACTAATCAAATCATCATCCATTGGACATAAAACGTACAGCTTATTGCACCAGCAGCATCTGCTCTTATATAACTATCATTAGCTTACAGCTTTAAGTGTTTAAG